ATAAAATATGTGTACATAAACTAAATGTAAATCATTCATCATTTTATATCCACGCACAAACACAAACACATATACAATATATTTATTTGTTATAAATGTCTACTAACTTTTTCCAAATAAAACAAGAAAATATTTCTTTAAAATTATTAGTGATCCTCTTGCTTTCTGCTTTTCATTCATACCGTCAAAATCAATCAGGCAAAAAGGCAAAAAAAAAATCAAAGTTGACTCTCTGCCTGGTTTCACCTTGCCAAGTTGTATGCTCTATATCTAATGAGTAGAGTGTTGCACTTGATATCCAACTTGTTTGTTTTTTTGAGAGAGCAAAAATAAATTACTGTTACTGTCGTATTGCTTCGTTTCAACAGTCTCTCAAATAATAATAACAACAACAAAAGGCCATACGTATATCACTGAGTCCACGAACAAAACACACATACATACACATATATGTGTCAATATACAGTGGAAAATTAACAAACTGAAATAGCAGCAGCAAAAAGCTTATTGGCATATATGAAAAGACGTATTTTGAGTGCGACGATATATAAGCAAGTCGCAAACGAATTTCGTTTTCAGTACCACGGTGGATATAATTTTTAAAACATTTAAAGCAAAAGCAACTAAAATATTATAGCTCCTATAAACAAAAAGATCGAAAAGATGTTAGTGTCATTTGTATAAATATATATTAAATATTTAAATAATTCATATTTTTATTTTAACATAGATCATTTAATTATATTCAAACAAACGTAATAAATAATAAATATTTGCGTGCCAATCAGTTAAAATATAATTTGGGATATATTAAAAAAAAATTAATAAATAAATAAATTAAATGATGCAAGATAAATAAAATATTATATAAAATATTGACCTATAAAATATTTTAAAAAGTGTTTATGAAAGAAATTTTGCAAACGTATGTGGAGGAAAAAAATAAAAATTTTTAAATATATATAAATATTTATATAAATTTGAAATGAATGCGTTTTTAATATAATTTGATTAATTTTTTTTTTTGTTTTTTTTTTTTGAATTTTACGTAATTGCAATGTTAAAATATGTAATAAATAAATTTTATTGTCAAGGGTGTGCAATATACCGAACAAGTTTTCTATGAAAAATCAAATCATATTAACAGCAATGCACAGACCGTGAATTTAATTTTATAATTAGAATTGTGAGCTGCAAAAAAAATAGTTTATTTTTGGCGGCACATAGCCAACACAACAAAAACAAAACAAAGAAATTTTTTTTTTTTTTGCTAAATAACCCATTCTTCTTCTCACTACACTAGCTTGACAAATGCCGAACAGTAGAAATAACCAAAATAGTCAAGTGTGCAAAAACAAAAAGTTTACAAGGAAGACATTCAATAAGCAAAAAGAGTACAAAAACAAATACAAACAGTGTGTAGTGTTGTGCTGTTGGTATTACACAAAATAACAAAAAGAAAAAAACAAAAACAAAATCAAAATTTAAATTTTCAGAAACAATGCGCAAACAAAAAACAAAAAAAATAAAGAAATAAAGCCAAAAGCCAATTGACGCAAAGTCGCGTGCAAATTAAAAATTAAATTTAAATAAACGAAAAAAAAAAACGAAAAAAAATTTTTGTTAACTTAATATTGTACATTTTGAAGACAACGTCGTCACGTCAGTACTGCTGACCAATGATTTTTATGCATGCAAAAACCCTTCCACACATACACACACACGCAAGCAACACAACTAATTTTACTGTGTAAGGCATGTTGGGCTGAACTTCATGTGCATTGAGCTCAGCAAATTGCAGCAAGTGCATCACGTCATAAAATTTTATGTATATAATTAATATCAACCCTATAATTATTTTTATATATTTTTTTTTTTTTTGATAATTTTGAAATTTAAGTGAATTTAAAAAATGCAGCTGAAAAGTGTAGTCAATCAATAATCACAGAAAAATTTTTTAATACCGATAAATCGACTGAAATGGCATATAAATGCTTACCAAAAACAGCATTAAAATTTATTTTAATTACTTATCATAGAGAACGTCTACTTATTTATTAGTTGTCTACTAAAAGCATATAGTTAGTTTAATTGGAATTAAATACAAAATTATATAATTAAATTGCAATAAAATAAACTGTTTTTAATTTTAGATTTCTAATAAAACTTTAGCTTTTTTTTATAACAATAAAAACTGATAAGGTGTCAGTGTAAATTGCATGGTTTTTTTTCTTAATGCATGGCAGTTACAAAGTGCAGTGTTAATGTTAGTTAGATATTCAACGAAAGTTCGAAGAGTTCAACAATGGTGAATAGATTTTTCTACCAATTAATCTATGATAGTACCATTGGGCATAGAATTACAATAATACAGTTCTATTGAAGTTAATAATAATAAAATATTTCTGAATAGAAATTTGTCTCTTAAAGAAATCGGTAAAATGAAAATAGTTTTAAAGTTTTTGTTACTGAAAGTCATAAATCCATAAAGTAAAATTTAAGATGATTTGAATAAAGAAAAAAATTTTTGAAGAAATTAATAAAAATAAACAGAGATGTCTTTGAAATTTTTTTTTTATTATTTTTCTAATAAAAAACAAGCTGGTTTATAACAAATTTAACAGGACCTCCTTCTACAGATCAAAAGCAAATCTAAATTTGCCAATCGCAAATGACATAAATTGTTCAATAACAGTTTTAAGGGTCATAAAGAATTAAATATAAATTTAAACCAATTTGAAAGTGAAGCATTTCTTGAATAGACACCCACAATGGCGAAGTGTTGTTTTTTCGAATTAATATAAATTAATTAATTAATATATAGTATAAAATTTGAGAGATTCAAAGACTTTCTCAAGTTTAAACAATTTACAAAAAAAAAAACACGTTACATCGTTATTGTTGTAAAATTTTTAGTTTTTTTGTAAATAGTTTTTGCATTTGCATTGTTGATTTTTGTTTTCAATAAGAAAGAAAATAGCTGAAATGTACACATTATGTAGCAAATAATAATAAAAATAAATAATAATATTAATAATAAATAGCATCAATGGCAATGCCAGTAACAAGAAAGTTGCAATGAAAAAATGTGTCATTAAACTCAGAAGACTTCTGAATAAATTATTTCAATGTTTAATAAATAATAATAAATCAATTTTGCTATACTCTTGGATTAGATGAGGTTGAAGTGACGAACAAATAATAAACGTCGAAATACTATAGATAAACATTATACATATGCTAGATCAGAAGCACCACCCAAAAAACAGGTATAAAGAGCGAAACAGTAAACAGACAAACAAATAAAACAAACACAACTTCAACACTTAAATAGAAGTAAACCAACCTGGAAGATAGACAGTAAGGTCATATGTAATCTCCAGATCTTGTGAACTCATTTAAAGAGATCGCATAAATAGTGTAAGACTTACTGCAGTTCTTTCTGGTCACTGATGTATAAGAACTCACACAGAGAAACTACGCGTTTCTATTAATTTCTTTAGAAATTGTGGAAACTTATAGGAAAATGAAACAATAAGGCATTGTCTTTGTGTAAATCCGGCTCTAGCCTCCAAAAGAAATAGGTTTATAGGGAAGTACTTTTTCCAGTTTTTCAGACTGTTCATCGGTAAAAACAAAATATGTATTAGTTAAATTTGACGGAATGGAATTAGTTCTATTATTTTGTTACCGAGAACGGTGAAAAATTGCGGGAAAATATCTGCTGAGCTGCCCCTGCTAATATATAAGGTAAAAGCTATACTCTTATTTATAAGTATTTTTTCTGTAGTTCAATTCTATGTAGTACAAAGCTTATAATGTGCGAACTCATTCTAAAAAATTGATAATAGAAGATAAAAGTACACACCTCTAAAATATGTATATATGTCTAATAATTATATTTAAATAGGTAATCTAAAAATAGGTGTGTAGATATAAGAAAATGTGTTAATTCATTAAATACTGATGAAATCTATTTTCGCACTTTGACAAATTAAAAAAAAATGTGTAGGTTCATGGGTATAGATAGTTTATCTATTATATAAAAGGCATGTAATCTAATATAAATAGGTATATAATCTATTATAAATAGATTAAAAATGACTACAGATATATAAGGAAATTACATACAAGATTAGAATATTTTTAAATTAATTATTTTTGTTTTTATTGTAATTTTTTATATATTACAAGACAAAAAAGTTTTCTTGACTCAAATATTTCACAGTCGTAACTTAATTCTAAGAACTGACTTAAGTATTAATTAAACATGACTTAGTGAATATTGAAACATTGAAATTATCTCTGAATCTCTTATCAAGTGATTTATAGTAATAAAATAATAATGCTGTTTATGTTTTGTATAAAATCAGTAAATAAAAAAAAATAAAATAAGTTAAAAATAAACTCAAGTTTAATAAAAATATTAACAAAATAAAAAAATTAATAGTATTCAAAAAAAATTAATTTAAAATAATTAATAAAAATATATATAAATAAATTGTAATAAAAATATATAACAAATTTTATTTCGAAATTAAAAAATTTTATTTTGAAATTAAAAATTTTTAGTTAAATAAATATATTTTTTGTTTGCTGCCTTTTTCAAGCAATTTATGGTTACAAATTAAACAGAAAAAAATATATAATTTTAAATAAATTAAATACTATTAATTTATATAATACAGACTAAATTTAATTATAAATACAGACACATATACAAGCACATAATAAAACTAAATTATAGTTTAACGAAATTCTAATTAAAACGCCATTTAATTGCATTCAGTATTTGCATTTAAAATCAACTCAATTTAGAATTCATAAAATGGAAATTACAAAAGAATTTAAAATTAAAAATTTAAATAATTTAAAATAATGATGAAAATTCAACAAAAATAATGCAATGATTTTGCAAGCCAACAGGCAAGAAGTAAAAATGTGGCTCACACACACACAGCATAAAATTATTTCATATTCGTTAATATTTACACTCAACAAATACAACCGGCATGCAAATATTTTGAGAGCATTTTCATTCATTTAAGAGTAGTTGTTAATTCGTTAAAAATAACTCAAATTAAAACTGAGTTCTTTTCTTTCTACTATAATTATAGCAAAGACAACAACCAGAATAGAAGCGACAGTATTGTGAAAATTTTATAACAACTCACAATCAGTGTGGTGAAAATAATATTCAACATATTTTAATTACTCAACACAATTGATTCAAAGGAGAGTTTAAAACAGAAACAAAAAATTGAAAGCAAAGCAGCAAGATGAGTGGTAGAGACAATCGTGGCATTGGAGGCCACCAACAATTAACCAGCGCAATGGGAAAAATAAAAGATAAACTAACAAGACAAGGGGTACGTATTTTATTGAACTTTTAATATAATTTACTTTTACCGGATAAGGATGTATTTTTTTAATTAAAAATAAAAATATGAAAGTTAAATTTTTTAAAACACGACCTTAAGCCCAGTGAAAATAAATTATATATAAATGGATATTAAAAATAATTTTTAATACAAATAAATTTTGTGTTTAAAATTATAATTAATTTAAATATTGTAAGAGAAAAATTTTTAAACAATGCGAATTAAGAAAATGACCAAAAATTCTGTGAATATATTTTTTTGCATGTAGTAAAATTAATAAACTTAATTATTTAAATAAATTATTATCGTTAGATTATTAAATTCATGAATTTCTTAGAAGAAATATTTAATTTTTGAAAACATAAAAATATAGTCTAAACATAATTATATTAATTATTATAATTACATTATATACGATTTTATATATAATATTATATATGATATTATACATTACTTTATACATGATTTGATATCTTGTATATGACTTTATTTATATTATATATGACTTTATTAATAGTGTTATCAATGATATATGATGTTATATATAATATTATTTATAATTTTATATAAAATATTATATATGATTTTATACAAAATATTATATAAAATTTTATATATAATAAATATTATATATGATTTTATATTTTTTTTTTCGGCGAAACATTTGATCTCCAGAAAAGAAGACTTAGAAATACATTATTTGTAAATTTTACATTAAAGTCGGTTGCTCTCATCGGGATTCGAAGCTAGAATCAATTACAAAGATCGAAGTTGTTAACCACTAGAGTAGTAAGGCTACCTATGATTTAATGTATGATATTGTATATAATTATTTAATTAATTGTATTACTAATATGTGTTATTATATTGATATATATTAATAACAAATATCAATAACATAGAAATCATCATTTAAATTATTATTAACTAAATTGTTCCCTAGAAGCACCAATATACATAAGCGAAACTAAAGAATGATGTATGAGACCGTGGCCTCCTATTAAAATGGTACTAGAAACAATATTCCATAATAAAAAAAAGGGTGCTACAATAAAACCCTACCCTAACTTAATGTGATAAATAAAATAGCGAAGGTATATTAATGTTTCTGCAGTGAAGTACCCGCTAGTTTTGTAAAGCATTTAGTTTTAAAGCAGTTATATTTTTTTTGAAATAATAATATAATAGAAATAACCTATTTTTAACATAGTCTCCTTCCTTAACCTATTTCCACCACATAGCTTTTGCCAATACATAGATAATTATTGTTCTGAATAAAAGGGTGAGTAACATAAAAATAGTAAGGATATATTCAAATTAAAAAAAAAAAGTTTAATCAAGCCAATTTTCAGCCAATATCACTCATACGTCTCACTCATACAAAAACCCAATATGAAGAAAAGATTTCAACTTAAAACAAATAGAATTTCATAGATGTGTTATATATACTTATATATATACACTTATATAATGTGTGTTATTAAAACTTTCAAATGAATGCATAAGGAACACTTATTTTAAAGAGAATAAAAACAAGTTTCTTACAATACCAAGTCTTGAGTATAACATTTAGGATCTATAGGTAGATAGACAAAAGCTGGAGCGTTTAGCTTTACCAGTCAAAGAAGGTTACTTCTAGTGGTATTCTTAATATCAGACAAAGATATAAGCTCCTGAACTAGAGCAAAACTGAGTTATAAAGGATTTGATTAAAATTCCATCATTTCCCAAACAGAGACAACAGATCCATCTTGTTAAGATGGTAATGCATGTTAAGTTGCTCCGTTAGGTAAATTGGAGAAAGCAAATTTTGCTCTGACCTACCGGTCTACTTATCTTGTCTCTTTCTCTCCGATAATGAGGATAAACAGTTTTTTTTTGCCTGTTGATAAATGGAAATATCGTGTCAGTAAAGAGATTTGTCAATCTTTATCCAATCAATAGATTTTTACTTTTACCAACTACTTCTTCAATAAGGATTCGGTCTACAGTATTTAATAGTTTATGCTATTATCTTACGAGGTTATCTCCAGGTTCTTGAAGTTTTTAAACATTTTTTAATTTATAAAAAAAATATATGTATATTATGATATATTCAATCTTAATACAGTGTAATGATATCAATATAATGATTTTAAAAAAAACTAATAAAGTTAGTAATGTAATATTGAAATACTTAGTCAAAAAAATCTAGAAGCATAAAAATTATTTATATTTTTTATTATTAATGAACTCAATGCATCTTTCTATGTCAAAAACCCAAAACACGTGTCAAAGCAATGATTTAGCGATAACATTTAGTCATTAACCTTTTATGAAAATATGCCAAAATATTTACTAAACTCAAATATGTTTACTAAATACAATAACAAATTAAATAAATAAAAAAAGATATCATTAAACGCACATTATTAGTATTAAAATTATTTTTTCCTTTTAAATTTAAGCAATTTCCCATTTATTTTGAATTTTAGTATATAAATTCTATGAAAATTATGTGCATTCATTTTGAAAATAATTGAATACTATATACATGGGGATGTATGAATATATACACATATTTAAATGATATAGATTAGCTGTCACAGTAGTAGATATGACCAAAAATGCTAGTACATTGCTACTTTGATATTAAAAAAGTTTTTATTTTTTTTTTTTTATTGTTTTTATTTGAAATAAAAAGTCCCTTTTCAATATATTTCCGGTTAGGGTTAACATAATTTGCTGGATCCACAAGAAGTAAATATTATTAAGTAGTTCATTTTTCTTAACCCTTTTTCCTTTTTCATGGATTTTAATAGGGAAGTCATAAACAATATATAATAATTTGTATATATAGTAAATAAATGTCTTGTCTGTAGTCTTAGTTAACATATTAGACTTGTCTTTAAAATAATTATTCTCTAGAGATAGAGTTTACTTTTATGTGGAGCTCAGAAAATGTTCTAATATATACAATACCCGAAAATTTCATTCAGTTCAACACAAAAACAAACAGATGAAAGCCATGGACCCACTTCATAACAACAGATTAGTTGGACACATGTTTTATATTGCATATCACACAGTCTGGAGGTGTGAGGGTCATTTAATCCCAATTAAATATTTTTTCCATGATATTTAAAAGCTTATCCTTTCTATCCATAGTATGCAACATAACTCCAAAATTACATGCTTATTACATATAATAAGTGGTAGTTTACAGAAGCGTTGGTGCTTAAGGAACCAGTAGCCAGTAGATTTGTGTGACTAGTGGATCCTCCTTTCAGACTAAAAACCTGTCAACATTTTTTTAGTGGACCCAAATCAACAGTTTGTATTGACTTATTTATTGATGTTAATCTAAAAACTTCAGAAACATCTTCATTGTATTAATTACTACTAATCTAATCTGATAGGTCTATATCCCAAGTAACTGATTTACTTTATTATAATCATTAATATTCGACTTGGAGAAACACTTTTATTCGACTAAGGGGCACAATAGATCTTTAGGGTTGTAGTGCACTGTCCCTTATCCAAAAAATAATAAATAATAACCATCAACATTCAATTTTTCACTAGTTGTAACTTTCCCTATTAATGAAATGTTAAATATGAAAATGTTTGTCGAAGAAGATTGGCAGACTAAACAAAAATAATCGCAATCTGAATTCTGAAAACTATCAAAAATCTTTTTTTGTCGCATTAGCAGTTTTTCCCAAAGCAAAAGACTCATCTTATTATAGTTGATGAAATCTTCTAATGGAAGCATCGCATATACAAATATTTAAACACATTATCATATATTTTAATTACTATTTTTGTCGTCTGCTCAATAATAAAATTGATAAAGCTCGTGTGTAAACCGCACAATGGCTTCTGTTTCTAAGACATTCTACGACGCTTATACGATACGTATATGTCGTCAGTGAAAGAATAAAAAATCTCAAATTGGTTTTAATCAGAAATTTCTTTGAATTTGCAATCATTGTCTTTTCTTAATTCGCAACGTCGTCAACAACATTTTAAGAGAATCCTCAAAAAAGAAATTTTGTAAAAAGACACAAATTTCTATCAAAAATGATTTTTTTTAATTAATTAAATTTAATTTTAAATTTATAGGATGAACACGCCTATCAGCGAGTGGATACAAACGAGGGCACGCTCTCAACATCAAATACAGCTACCAGTTTAGATACAATATTACCAGAAGATCCTTTTCTATTCGCACAACAACACACACAACGTCAAACGAGTCCGCGACGTTTCGAACATCAAGAACCTACAATACAATTTGGTCCTATCATCGAAGGCGATGATATAAATGAACCGCCATTACCTTTACCAGTATCAAGTATAAATAAACTAAGTAGCACACAGGATTTGACACCTATACCACCTCCACCTTCAGTTCAACATCCGCGTGATCATCATCAACGTAGTGCACTTTCCTTGCAGAATGATGAATTACAGCGTAGCAAACAATCACTGAAGGGATCACGCGTTTCATTTGGGAAAAAAGCGGCTGATAGCAGTGATGAGGATAGCTTTGAAGATAAGCGACAAGGTTTTCAAAAGCAAAAAACAATTAGTGTTGATCATAAAGGAATTTTAAAGGTAAATTAAAGAAAAAAATTTTTTAACTTTCACAGTTAAATAAAAATTAAAAAAACTGTGTTATTTTTAGGATTTAAAACACATTTTAGCAAATGACAATCGACGTCAATTTCAAGAGAAAAAACACGTATCGTTAGACATAAAAGGCACTCGCTTTCTGCAAGATCTTTTAAAGGACTCATCGTCAGAAGAAGAGTTTCGCACAAATCGTAAAGATTTTCAAGGACGTAAACATCAAAGTTTAGATCCGCGTGTCACTTTCAAATTAGACAGAGTATTACAGGGTTCCAGCACAGATAGTGATGAAGAAGCCGATGATGCCGAACATAAACGCCTAATACATCGTCCCAAAGATATAACAAAACCAGTTATTATTGACTTTAAGGATTTAGAAAGCGAAAGTGAAGAGGATTACGATACGTCAAGGCAACATTTCCAACAAACGCGTTCAATTAGTACAGATTCAAGGAAAAGGTATGTATCTATATTAATTTTATGATAAAGTTTCTACATTAGTATGTATATGATATTTCCTTAACTCCTGACAACTTTAAAAGTATCAAAATGTGTAATGGTGATTTCCTACTGTAGGAGTTGATGTTCACATCAACGGGCGCACTTTAAATCTAACCGAATGTATTGCACTTCATTAAACTTAATATATATTCAATATAATAGATATGTTATTAATCAAGTTCAAGATTTTAGATTTTTTGTTATTTTATCAGTATCTACTTAAATTTTTACAGTCACATTAGAGAGATAATGAAATTGTAAAAAAATCTCATGAGTATTAGTTATATCCACATTTTCATTCGGGCACATTTAATGCCAACTGTAATGCCCTCAAACATGCTTAAGAAAACCAATTACATTCTAATTTCGACTATATACATCGATTTCCTAATGATGTATGGCGACTGCTACTTATATCTACCTATTTTCCTGTTAATTAACTATTAATAATTAACAAAACTGGCCAATCTAGTTAAATATCCACTTATACCAAAAATCACTGCATCAAGGAACACAATAGCTCTCTAGGTCATAGTGCAAAAAATTCCCGCCAATATAATAATAACGCAGTCAATTTCAGTACAGTTTCGTTTCTAATTAATTAATTTTTTCTAATTCTATATAATTAGAAACACTAAGAAAAGTCCCAAGTATAAATTATAAACAAATTCCTGTTTCAAAATTTATTTCAGGCAATCAATAGACCTAATCTAAAATATGCGGTTAGTAACTAATTTTAATCACTTTTAAATACACAACACAACAAAGTGATTAAAAATCTGCTCGTGTCAAAATAGATGACATAGTGCCAAAATTTTATTAATATTTTCACTTTTAATAAAATACGCTACAATAGAGCAAATGTCTATTTAATTATTAAAAACTAAATTTCAAGAAGATTGTATATGTATTATAGATAAACAATATTTTTTGCCATATACTAAATGTACACTACAATGTAGCATGTAGAAAGAGGGGTGAATAATGCAGAGTACTTCACCCGGATGTAGCCAACTATTGAAAATAGAGTGCTTTCCGTATTATATATCTTCCATTTCTTGAAGTAAGAAATCACTATCTATATTTGTGATTTTCATATCGGAAACCCTACATATCGAGATAGTAGATTAGGTTTTTGTAACTACCTTAGTTTGGAATGATTGTGCTGAATGAATAAATGATTTAGTTCTAAGTTACTCAATTATTTTTTCTTGTACTATAATAGTCGATATAGAGTGGTACAATATAAAATAATAATAAAAAAAAAGTGAATTCTGTATCGAATTCTGTTCATTTAGCAAGAAAACCATTTTGATGCTACATTACTCCTAATATAATGAGTAGAACATTGGGCATATTAAAACTAACCGGATGCGTTGTTGAAAGTAAGTATCTGTCTAATTCTAATATTGGATACATCGCTGAGTGTATCAAAAAATAGGGCGCCTTTGAGCTTAAGCCTAGTTGGAGACAAGCATAGACTATGAAACAATAGCTTTGCGTCTCTACTACTAAGAAAATCCCTGCTACTATTTTTAGACTTTCATACTTTTTTTTTAATTCTATGAAAACTACTACAATTTCCTACTAATTTTTTTAGACTGGTATAAAATGTTATAAATTCTTTATGTATTCTTCTTGACTTTATAAAAACTACTTCTAAAAAGTTCTTACTACTTTTCTTAACCTAGCAAAAACATATTATCAGTCTTTCATTTCGTGATGCTTATTTTTTTTCTATTCCTAGAGACTATGATATTCATCGTAGAAAATATTATTTTTGAAGACTCTTATTTGTTTATAATATATACAATTATTAATATTACACATTATGATATCAGTACCAGTGTTTATTTAAAAATTCATGAATTATAGTTGTTAAAATAGTTCCGGAATGTGACCTTTGTAGAACTTAACACATTATACATATTATTTATTTACTATTTATTATTAATATATATACATTAATATTTTTATTATAGCCATCGCCTTTACGAAATGGATGAAATGGGCAGAAAGAAGAATGAGAATTTACGAAATTCAGTACCATTTATAAGACAAATAACAGAAGATGGCAAACCAAAGTTGGAAGTCTATAGACCGACAACAAATCCTATTTATATATGGACACAGGTAAGCACAGATGTTAATTGATTTAAGTAAATTTTAATATCAATTTGAAAATTTAAATTTAAATTCAATTTATTTTTAAATATATGGAAGCACATAAACTAGTAGAACAAACGACGATAGATATAAACTAGCTAAACTGCTAAGCTAAGTAATTCAGTTAATGAATTAAAAATTTACTGCAAAGCAAGGACTATGAGTATTTATAAGTAATAAATACTAAGAAAAATATGTGGGGGCAATTAATCAATTATCACACATGCCTACACCTATGATATATGTATGTAGTGTATAGTCGGTAGTGTATAGTGTGTCTAGTGACTTTGTTACTATATGACCATGTGATACGCTAACAGTAAATGAATGCAAATAATTGAACTTTAATCTTCATTATCAGTTTAACGCTTCACAAGTGAACAAGTCCTTCAAGTATATACAAATCAACGATCGACGAAATCGTGTGTAGATTTTACTGGTACTAACCAAACAAAACAAGCAGATCGGTTTTATAGAATTTGTAAAATTATCTATCAAGATGCATTCGTACTCGTCGTGATTCAATTAAATATATAAAACATAATTATTAATAATATAAAAAAACAAAAACAAAAAAGATTTCATTATAGTGTACATTAGTTTATCAATTAAATGAAATAGACAAAATAGTAATAAAAAAAATCTATATTAACTATATATATAAAAATAATTAACAGAAAACCATTGCTGATGAGTAATTAAATAAATTCGTTTTGTTTTGTTTAATTACATATAATATATATAAATATATAGGAATATGTTATATACTAAATAATAAGAGGAATTTAAATAGAAAATCTGTAGATACAATTATTTAATTGGTACATTCACAGCTATTCACTATTAATAATTACCGTCATTAAAATAAGTTGCGCTACATATTACTTTTAATTGAATTAATATTAATATTTTCGCAATTTTTTTTTAATTTAGTCTTTTGGAATTTTATTATTTTGTATTTAATATTACGTTTTCCCAAGAACGCTTCGAAGAGATAAGAATGTTTATGAAATTTACAGATCAAACTGAGATTGAACGAAACGTAAAATTTGATTTTCTTTCACCTCGACGATCAGTAGATGCCGTAAGCTCAAGTTCAGCTCGTTGAAAATATCTGAAATATTCTACGATTCCGATTTCATTGGACAAATCTTGTAAAAATTCTTGTAAAAGTGAATTTACAAAATTTAAATCGAATTTATTTTAGTGAAAATTTATTTATTAATTTTTCAAAGGAAATCGTAATTAAATGCAAAATAATATATGTATTTACATATTAATTTAATAAAAATTTCATAAAAATAAATAAAAGAGTAAAATAAGTGTGTTTAACAAAAATTTAAATAAATTCAACTGAAAAAAAAATCCTTCGACATGAAAATCCTTATGCGAGCGGATACTCACGTATCCTTTTCAGTGCCAGTCGACGAACCGAAAGCGAAATGCACTTACACACAGGTTAATAATTAATTTTATTAATAATTTATATTCGTACTTAAAAGATTTAATTAAAATATGCATACGTTTTGTCAAGAAAATGTTAACAAATGTAAGAGAGGCACAAATTCTTATTCTTCATTTATTGACTATAAAATATTGGCCTTAAAATAATAATATAGTAGGCTCCCAGCGAAATGGAAGAAAAATAAAATAATATATATTATATATATAATATTAATATTATTATGTTAAAAAAAGTGACTAATTGCAAGCTAAGTGTAGTTAGAAACATTCATTCTGGTAATATAGTAAATGTAATATTACGTTATCTGGATCTACGGGAATTAATATTATATTATACAATAAATAATGTAAATAAATATAAATGTAATAAGAAGAAATAATATAAATTCTTTATTCAAATAAATTTTTTAAAAAAATACATATATATTTTTAAAAAAAAAACCTTTAAATAGAAAACCGTAATGTATTCCACAACAAAATTTTTATATATAATTAATTGAATTTTTTGGCTGATCATACAATACAACTGTTAATTGACTATAATTACTAAAAACATGATTGCATTATAAACATTTTCTTGATAGTGTATATACATATTGGAAATAATACCATATACTACTTGTATAATGTTATAACATGAAAAAATATATATAATAAAAAATAACATATATATGTATGTATGTATATCGGAACAATTTATTGAACTCAACTATATAAAATAATCAATCGATGATTTTTTAAACCACAACACATACGAACAGTTGAAGAGGAGGATCGTATCACTACTAAGA